CCTTTGCCTCAGATAGTCCCTGAAAAATATTATTAAAAAAAATCGACGCCTTTGCCTCAGCTAGTCCTTGAAAAATATCATTCAAACAAACCACGCATTTACCTCAGGTAGTCCTTGAAAAATATTATTTAAAAAATTATTAAGAAACCCTCTCCTGTAGCAGATATAGTGCTTGAAAAATATTATTTAAAAAATACACGCCTTTGAAAAATATTTAAAAAATACACGCCTTTGAAAAATATTGTTTAAAAAATCCAGGCCTTGTGGAGGATGGTGGCTCAAAAAATATTGTTTAAAAAATCCAGGCCTTGTGGAGGATGGTGGCTCAAAAAATATTGTTTAAAAAATCCAGGCCTTTGCCTCAGCTAGTCCTTGAAAAATATTGTTTAAAAATCCACGCCTTTGCCTCAGCTAGTCCTTGAAAAATATTGTTTAAAAAATCCACGCCTTTGCCTCAGCTAGTCCTTGAAAAATATTGTTTAAAAAATCCACGCCTTTGCCTCAGCTAGTCCTTGAAAAATATTGTTTAAAAAATCCACGCCTTTGCCTCAGATATTCCTTGAAAAATATTGTTTAAAAAATCCACGCCTTTGCCTCAGATAGTCCTTGAAAAATATTGTTTAAAAAATCCACGCCTTTGCCTCAGCTAGTCCTTGAAAAATATTGTTGAAAAAATCCAGGCCTTTGCCTCAGCTAGTCCTTGAAAAATATTGTTTAAAAAATCCACGACTTTGCCGCAGCTAGTCCTTGAAAAATATTGTTGAAAAAATCCACGCCTTTGCCTCAGATAGTCCTTGAAAAATATTGTTTAAAAAATCCACGCCTTTGCCTCAGCTAGTCCTTGAAAAATATTGTTGAAAAAATCCACGCCTTTGCCTCAGATAGTCCTTGAAAAATATTGTTTAAAAAATCCACGCCTTTGCCTCAGATAGTCCTTGAAAAATATTGTTTAAAAAATCCACGCCTTTGCCTCAGATAGTCCTTGAAAAATATTGTTTAAAAAATCCACGCCTTTGCCTCAGATAGTCCTTGAAAAATATTGTTTAAACAATCCACGCCTTTGCCTCAGATAGTCCTTGAAAAATATTGTTTAAAAAATCCACGCCTTTGCCTCAGCTAGTCCTTGAAAAATATTGTTTAAAAATCCACGCCTTTGTCTCAGCTAGTCCTTGAAAAATATTGTTTAAAAATCCACGCCTTTGTCTCAGCTAGTCCTTGAAAAATATTGTTTAAAAAATCCACGCCTTTGGCTCAGCTAGTCCTTGACAAATATTGTTTAAAAAATCCACGCCTTTGCCTCAGCTAGTCCTTGAAAAATATTGTTTAAAAAATCCACGTCTTTGCCTCAGCTAGTCCTTGAAAAATATTGTTTAAAAAATCCACGCCTTTGCCTCAGCTAGTCCTTGAAAAATATTGTTTAAAAAATCCACGCCTTTGCCTCAGCTAGTCCATGAAAAATATTGTTTAAAAAATCCACGCCTTTGCCTCAGCTAGTCCTTGAAAAATATTATTTAAAAAATCCACGCCTTTGCCTCAGATAGTCCTTGAAAAATATTATTTAAAAAATCCACGCCTATGTCTGAGATAGTCCTTGAAAAATATTATTTAAAAAATCCACGCATATGTCTGAGATAGTCCTTGAAAAATATTATTTAAAAAATCCACGCCTATGTCTGAGATAGTCCTTGAAAAATATTATTTAAAAAATCCACGCTTATGGTTGAGACAGTCTTTAAAAACTTCATGCCTATGGTTGAGATTGTCCTTCAAAAATATTTTTAGAAAAAATCCACGCCTGTGTTTGAGATAGTCCTTCAAAAATCTTCTTTAAAAAATCCACGCCTGTGGTTGAGATAGTCCTTAAAACATCTTCTTTAAAAAATCCACGCATATAGTTGAGATAGTCTTCTAAAAAATCTTCTTTAAAAAATCCACGACTATGGTTGAGATAGTCCTTGGAAGCTATTATTTAAAAAATCCACGCCTTCGGTTGAGATAATCCTTGAAAATCTTTTTTTAAAAATCCATGCCTACAATCGGGATAGTCCTTGAAAAGTCTTCTTTGAAAAATCCATGCCTATAGTCGGGGTAGTCCTTGAAAAATATTATTTAAAAAATCCACACCTATGGCACAGAGAGTTCTTAAAAATATGACTTTAAAAATCTCCGTGTATTCCCATATGTTTCTAGTGTTATATTTAAATTGATGAAACTTCATTTGAGGATTTGCAAAATCAACAACAACAAGAACAACAAACAAATAAAACTGTGCCAAAAGCGTGCAAACAAAATATGCAAATATGAAATGTTAACACTTGCTGAATTTGTTGTTTATTTTTTGGCAAAAATACTCGGGAATATATTTCTCCACGTGTCGACAGTGGAGGAGATATATGTGTGCGAAGAGCAAATTGGCAAAGGCGAACAAATATTCGTTTGCCTGTCAGCTGATATGTGACAAAATTCTGATAACTTCATAAAATGTAAATATTTGGAAGGACAGTGGGTCTTTCTCATAAGAGATGACTGAAGATGAACTCTTTCCTTAAAAGTACCGACCACAAATAATTCTGCAGAATGGAATTAAAATATCTCCATGGCTGGAAATTTTTAAGATGTCTTGATCGTTGATTTAAATTTTTTCCACCTTATTATTTAATCTAACTGAGCCCCTGAAATCTTTATTTGTTTTTCTAATAACACAACACATCACATCTATCCATTGTTATGGAAATTATTGTTCATACCGAACAATAACATCTCTATCAAACTATCAGACATATTGGAGACTGTCGTCATCCATAATGGTGACAAAAAGATGAACAACAACAACACGACATATACCAAAAAAATGCAAACACTCCATGCCAAGATTTTCGAATATAATGAAGATATTTGTTTGGCTTGTCATACGTGGTAGTGGTTCGTTCGATCGATGTGTTTTCAGCCAAAAACATGAAAACCAAAAAATATGAAGTTGAAAATATTCAACGAACAAAAAACCAGGACTACGAAGATAAAACAACCATAACAAAATATGCAGCTTTTGTATCCTTACTTGCATAGTATATTTTATGGATTTCAAGTTTTTTTTCTGCATGACTTATTGGCTGATGGTTAGAGAGAGATTAGAAGAAAGAAGAACTCAAGGGTTGCCATTTTCGAACAACATATTCATAAACAAGTTTGAAGAATATTTTCAAGGACTTTCAGAACTATAAGGGTGATTTTTTAAAAAACTTTATTCCAGGACTATCTCAACTTTAAGCGCGGAGTTTTTAACAAAATTATTCCGGGACTATCATCCATAGGCGTGGAATTTTTACATAATTTTCTTCAAGATCTATCTCTTCCATAAGCGTAGATTTTATGAGGCGTGGATTTGTTAAAGAATATTTTTCAAGGGCCAACTGAGGCGTGGATTTATTAAAGAATATTTTTCAAGGGCCAACTGAGGCGTGGATTTATTAAAGAATATTTTTCAAGGGCCAACTGAGGTGGATTTATTAAAGAATATTTTTCACGGACCAACTGAGGCGTGGATTTATTAAAGAATATTTTTCAAGGGCCAACTGAGGCGTGGATTTTTAAAGAAGAATTTTTCAAGGGCCAACTGAGGCGTGGATTTATTAAAGAATATTTTTCAAGGGCCAACTGAGGCGTGGATTTATTAAAGAATATTTTTCAAGGGCCAACTGAGGCGTGGATTTATTAAAGAATATTTTTCAAGGGCCAACTGAGGCGTGGATTTATTAAAGAATATTTTTCAAGGGCCAACTGAGGCGTGGAATATTTTTCAATTTTTCAAGGGCCAACTGAGGCGAGGATTTATTAAAGAATATTTTTCAAGGGCCAACTGAGGCGTGGATTTATTAAAGAATATTTTTCAAGGGCCAACTGAGGCGTGGATTTGTTAAAGAATATTTTTCAAGGGCCAACTGAGGCGTGGATTTATTAAAGAATATTTTTCAAGGGCCAACTGAGGCGTGGATTTATTAAAGAATATTTTTCAAGGGCCAACTGAGGCGTGGATTTATTAAAGAATATTTTTCAAGGGCCAACTGAGGCGTGGATTTGTTAAAGAATATTTTGATCAGCTTGAGTATTTAGGGAAAGTCTTTCCGATTTTTTTAAGTGGGACTTTTTCGAGGACTATTAGTAATGGGCTAAATGACTCAAAGCTGGTGATTTTTTAGGGCTTTTAACAATTTAAATATTCGCGGAAAACATTTTTCAAAAATTTAAATTTGGTACTCTCCGACCATTTACCCTTTTTCGGTCTGTTGTGCGTGCTAGTGTTTTTTTTTTATTTTTTGCAATAGCAATAAACTTTGTGTGTGTGACTTGTAAAATTTTTTTGTTGTTTGGTTGTTTGCAGTAACATTCTCAAGGATATGACCGAGGTTTTATGTTGTTGTTGTTATTTTTTGGCATTCATGTATGGAATCTGTTATATTTGTTGCATGTACTCGAATGGGTATACATGATATGCGTATTGTACTCTCAAGTATGTTGTATAAGTGTACAATGTTTTTGTGGTTTCTCTCTTTATAACATTAGAAAGTTGTGTGTTCTGACAGAATATTTTTATAATTTGTAAATTTTCTGCAAAAAAAAAAACCTTTATGGAATTTGTGTGCGTGATTAATAGTTAGCAGGCAATTTAAAATGACTTAAATGAATTAGAAAAAAATTTTATAAAATGTCAACTGTGAAGAAAAAAAATCATGATAGTCTGAGCTCGCACATAGTCCTCAAGACTTTAAAAATTAAAAATTTTAATTAGACACGATTTTTCTCGATAATATTAAAGTTAACAAATTTTTTGAATTTGGAAAATCTTAAAAATAATTTTCCATTTTTCCCATTCGCATACTTATTGCGTACAAAATGCGGCTGAACCTTTTAATAATAATGTCCAAAATAACAACCCTTGTCATGAATATTTCCCATAAACAATACCCAGTTTCATGCTGCTGTTTATTTTTGTCTGAACTTACCTTAATAAAATTAGCAATAAGTCTGGCGCACTCGCCTGTAACGCCACACGTAACGGCGATGAACGGCCACAGGATTCAATTGGAATATCAATGAATCTGTAAATAAATGGAAAGCACAAAATAAGGTTGTTAGTCGAATTGGCGGCACACAATTAGCTATGAAATAATTTCAAATTCGCAAGCAATTAAGGAGGAAAATAGGGGTGTAGCTAAGATATAAAGCGAATAATATTTTTAACAATCAACAGAAGCATGGATTTTTTAAATAATATTTTTCAAAAACCAACTGAGGCGTGTATTTTTTAAGAATATTTTTCCAATGAGCAATAGAGGCATGGAAATAATTTTCAAGGACTATCTGAGTCGTGATTTTTTAAGAAATATTTTTCAAGGACTATCTGAGTGGTGATATTTTAAGAAATAATTTTCAAGGAATATCTAAGTCATGATTTTAATACCCTTCACCACACTGTGGTACAGGGAATTATGTCTTTGTGCATATGTTTGTAACAGGCAAAAGGAAACGAGACAGACACATGGTTCCTTTTGAGAATATGCATAAAATCACTTTCTGAGTCGATTTACGCATGTCCGTCCTTTCGTCTGTCCGTCCATGTATGTTTGTGAACAAAGTACAGGTCGCATTTATGTTCCGATTTGAATGAAATTTGGCATAGGTCACTTATTTGGCCCAAGAACGAACTCTATTGAAATTGGGAACAATCGGTTCAGATTTAGATATAGCTCCCGTATATATTTTCGTCCGATATAGGCACCGACTTCCCCATATATCTTTCGATTTACACGAAATTTGGCACAGCGTAATGAATTAGGCATAGAATGATGTGTGTTAAGTTTCGTGAAAATTTGTTCAGATTAAGATATAGCTCCCATATATATTTTCGTCCGATTTTATGTAAATGGTCTACCAAAGTCCCTATATATCCTTCGATTTGCACGAAATTTGGCACAGCGTAATGAATTAAGTCTAGAATGATGTGTGTTAAGTTTCCTGAAAAGCGGTTCAGATTTATATATAGCTCCCATATATAGTTTCGTCCGATTTTATGTAAATGGTGCACCAAAGTCCCTATATATCTTTCGATTTGCACGAAATTTGGCATAGGGTACTGAATTGAGTGTAGAATGACGTGTGCTGAGTTTCGCGAAAATCGGATAAGATTTAGATGTAGCTCCCATATATATTTTCGTCCGATTTAATGTAAATGGTGCACCAAAGACCCTATATTTGCACGAAATTTGTCATAGAGTACTGAATTAACTCTAGAATGATGTGTGCTAAGTTTCGTAAAAACCGGTTCAGATTTAGATATAGCTCCCATATATAGTTTTGTCCGATTTAATGTAAATGTTGCACTAAAGACTCTATATATTCCTCGATTTACACGAAATTTGGCATAGAGTACTGAATTAACTCTAGAATGATGTGTGTTAGGCTTCGTGAAAATTGCTTCAGATTTAGATATAGCTCCCATAAATATGTTCGTCCGATTTGATGTAAACGGTGCACCAAAGACCCTATATATTCTTTGGAATATATTTTTCGATTTGCACGTACAGAATTGAGTCTGGAATGATGTGTGCTAAGTTTCGTGAAGATCAGTTTAGAAATAGCTCCCATATATACATATATATTCGTCCGATGTTACATAAATGGTGCACCAAACTCCTAATGTTTGTCCGATTAACACGAAATTTTGCACAACGTATCAAATTGACACTTGAATGACGTTATTAGGTTTCTTTTTTTTTTTGAAATTGGTGCAGATGCAGCGATAGCTTCCATGTGTATTTCGAACTGGTGTCTAATTGAGATTAAATTTTCAATAGTGTGGAGTACCGAATAGCGTGTATCCATTTTGCTAAAAATCGTTTTCCATAAATTTGTCCCATGGTACGCAGAGGACTCTAAATCTGCCCGAATGAAATGAAATTTATCATAGGTTACAGATAGACATGACTATGCTCCTTCGAGGGAACATTGACATGCATTTGTAAGGATACATATGCACAATATACCCGAAGTGGTGAAGGGTATCATATTGTGGGCCAGTCCGACTATACTACTTTCCTTACTGGTTTTTTTTTCAATAATATTTTTAAGGACCATCTTCACCATAGACGTTGATTTTTCAAATAATGCTTTTAAAGACTATCTCAAGCATAGATATTTATTTTTTAAATAATATTTTTAAGGCCCATTTTCACCCTAGACGTTGATTTTTTAAATATTTTTTTAAGGACTATCTCAAGCATTGACGTTGAGCTTTTAAATAATATTTTTAAGGACTATCTTCATCTTAAGGACCGTTGAGGACAGTAGCTTGGATTTATTAGAAAAAAAATTTAAGGACAGTCAAGGACATTAGCTCAGATTTGTTACAAAATCCATCGAGGTCACAGCTGTCAATTTTTTAAATAATAAAAGCCACAGATGAGCATTTTTTTAATACTATTTTCCAAATTTATGACCATAGATATGGATTATGTTAGTAAAATATTTAGTAAACAGATAGATAATTCACCCTTCCCTTCTTCTCCCCAAGCTTGAAACAGAATTACCACCTCTCATATTTTATTTGATATAAATTCCCATTAAACGATTCTCACGACTTATTTTCGTTACGCAATTTAGTCTATATTAAATCACAATGTAACTTTTATCTGTCTCTAGATAATTTACGAACGAACGAGCAGACAAACAATCTGTCTCAACTTAATGTATTCCATCACCACTTTTGGATTCCCCCAAAAGATTTCTTCAACATGTTTATTGTTTAAACAAAAATTTCTTTAGAAATAAAAATCTGCAATTGAATTAAGGCATTTGCTTGCAGAGATAAAAATAAATTTTTCTCCATCATACCACCAATCATATATTACACGGTATTTTGGCAAAGTAGAAGGCAAAAACGGCGGACTATACAGATATTTGCGAATATAAATTGTTCTTGGAAAAAATATATTCCAACAAAGTTATTCCCTACAGGCTTGTAGCAAAAAAAAAAGTGAACGAACGATGCGTTGCGATACGAAAGAAACTGTAAAATGTAATTTAAATTCTATTAAGAATTTGTCTACAAATCATTTGATAACTTGGCAGCAGACATTTTGTCTTAGGTGTGTGTGTGTTAGGGTGGTAAGGACACTCATGCACGCACGCTTCACATTCAAAAAAATATAATAGCCCCCTCTTCCCGAACACAGCACACAAAAAAACATTATAAATTGTTACACTGAAAATATACTTGAGATACCCATACTCATCTTGAGATACACATTGAGCATCTGTAGCCGCCACCGAGTCATCAAATTCCCCAATGTAATTTCTATCACATCTTTTGCAAGTAACAACACATCTATATATACGAGTATAAATACAATATTTTTCACCCCTCATGAACAATTTACAAATAGTCTAGCTAGTAGTAGCTGGCCTACTTTAAAATATGCCACTTAGTAGAGCTTTAATGTTAACAAGTGGCTCTTTGGAAATCTTCTTAGTCTTCTCGTTTTGTCTGCGACAGAATTGCTAATATTTTTCGACTAAGTGATGAGAATATTCTTTTTAACGATTTAACATGAAATAGAAATTGTAATAATAATGGGGATTTTCTGTAAAAAAATTGTAAATTGTTTTAATGTTTCTTTTCAATTTAGATTTTTTTGCAGAGCCTATTTTAGGACAATGTGATACTAGGTATTAAGAAAAAATTTTAAATATGGCTAATATGTTCATCGTGTTTTGGTAGAGAGGATAGTATGATGCCATACCTTATACCATACCCAATATCAATTAAAACCAGTAAGGAAAGTAGAAAAGTCGGACTGGGCCGACTATATGATACCCTTCACCACTTTGGGTATGTTCTACATATGTATCCTAAAAGACGTCGCCTTTTTGTGGAACTTTGACATGAAATTGAACGAACTTAAATATGTGATATTTATCTATATGTGAACCGACTAAAATCAATTTCTACACATGTCATTCTGCAACCTATGCTAAATTTTGTAAATCGACTTAAAGCAAACTTGACACATGCTATTCGGTATGCTGCACTTTTTAAAATCTAATCTCAATCAGACACCCATTAATTATTTGGTGTACAATTAGCATGAATAAGTCGAAATTATATATGGAAGCTATACTATATCTGTATCTGAAAGATATATAGGGACTTTGGCGCCCCTGGCGCGGACGAAAATATATATGGGAGCTATATCTAAATTTGAACCGATTTTCACGAAACTTAGCACACATCATTGTGGACCTAATTCAGTATGCCATACCAAATTTCGTACAAATCGAAAGATATATATATATATATATATATATGGAAATCGAAAGATGTATACACCTTAAATCGGACGAAAATATATATGGGAGCTATGTCTAAATCTGAACCAATTTTCATGAAACTTTGCACACATTTTTAAGACTTAATTTAGTACGCCATGCCAAAATTCGTGCAAATCAAAAGACTTTGAAGGACTTTGGTGCACAATTTACCCTAAATCGATTTATTTATTTTGGTACGATATACCAAATTTCGTGCCAATCGAAATATATATAGGAACTTTGGTGCACCATTTACCTGATTTTGCACCTGAACCGATTTTGCCAAATTTCAATAGGGGTTGTTCTTGGGACTAACAAATGAGCTGTGCCAAATTCCATCCAATTCGAATCATATAAGCGACCTGTACTTTGTTTACAATTTAACATGGACGGACCGATAGATAGACGGACGGACATCCATAAATTGACTTGGAAAGTGATTCTATGCATATTCTCAAAAGGAACCATGTGTCTAGCTCGTTTATTTTTGCCTGTTGCAAACATATAGGAAGTGATGCCAATGTGGTATACCCATTTGTTTTTAGATTGCCAAATTTTTATTTTTTTATCCGATTAAATTTAAATTTTGCACATAACATGCTACATGTGTTGTCTTTCCATGTATCAATTTGAAAATAAAATTATTCTAACAATTTAAGAGATATTTGAGAAAATATTTGAAATTCCATTAAAAGTGATTTTAAACCCAGTAAGGAAAGCAGTAAAGTCGGACGGGGCCGACTATATGATACCCTTCACCACTACGGGTATATTAAACAGCATTATTAACATGAAATTGGATGAAATAAAACATGTGATACTTATCTAAATGTGAATCGGACTAGATCTATCCATAAACATGTCATTCGTTTGGGACAAAAGTATGAAAATCGACTTCAAACAAATATCAATATGTCATCCGTTGGGCTATGTCTGTACTTCTAGAAAACGTAACTACGTTATTCTATGCTCAATTTGGTCCGGTAGTACAAAATGAAAAAATTCGCTGTTGCAAACATAAATTTACTGTGAAAGAAATTCATTTCGGGGGGGCCCGGGCCCCCCAGGGCGCCCCCCTGCGTACGCCCCTGGAAGCTATATCCAAATATGAAACTATTTCAACGAAATCTCAACCGATTTTTACGAAACTTGGCACACAAAATTCTGGACTAAATTCAGTACGCTATGCAACATAAGAACTTTGGCATTTAAATTAAATCGGACGAATCTATATATGAGAGCTATATCTAAATCTGAACGATTTTTCCCAATTTCAATAGGGTTCGTCCTTGGGCCAAATAAGTGACTTGTGCCAAATTTTATCCAAATCGGATTATAAATGCGACCTGTACTTTGTTTACAATTTAACATCTACAGACGGACAGACGGACGGACATGCATAAATCGACTCAGAAAGTGATTCTATGCATATTCTCAAAAGGAACCATGTGTCTATCTCGTTTCCTTTTGCCTGTTACAAACATATGCACAAAGACATAATACCCTGTACCACAGTGTGGTGAAGGGTATAAAAAGTGAAGGTAATGTGGTATACCACATGATGTTAATGTGGTATAGTATAATTTTCACTTCCAATTGATATCTTATATAATTTATTGTTTTTAAGGAATGCGAATTAGCTCAAGATTTCTGTCTGTTAAGATTTTGAACGGATAGGTTGAGTGGAACTTTAATTTTTAATATGTAATAATGTCTACACATGGCAATATTTAATTTTTGTACGGAGAAGTCGTTAAAACTCATAGCCTTTGTTTTTCATCCTTGTTGTTCGTGGTAGACTCTCGTAGAGTACAAATGTTTCAAATAGTAATGAGATTTTGTCCAGTACTGGCTTTTTTCATGCAGACTCAAGGTATACCACATTACCTGCACTTGTGTTTACTGAAGAAATGTTTAGTTTTTTTTTCCTAAGTTGGTGATTAGTGGTGCAATCGCGCATGTTATTTGATTTTTGTTCATACTAATTATTTTAATGCTTTAGTAATAACGATTAAATTACATCCGTAAAACAAAAAACTATTTTTAAACTTGAACCGAAAAAAGTCATTTTCATGAAAAATTTAATTTTTCGTACTGATTCTCAACGTGATTTAAATATATTAAACAGATCAATGCTATTTTATTTTTTTGAGAACAGCAAACTATAGAACACGTATCAGTTCTTCTAAAATTTTCAGTTTACAAAAAAGTGACTATACCACATTGCCAACCTATACCACATTTGCATCACCTCCTCTATGCACAAAGACAAATACCCTGTACCACAGTGTGGTGAAGGGTATACAAATTGAAAGAAAGGTATTTGAGAGTTAGTATCTACTTAACATATATGAGGGACCTATTATAGGTGTGAACTAAATGTCGACTATATGTGTAAACAATTAAATTTTGAGAAATATTTTCCTTTAAAAGTTTTCCTAGAAATGCCTTCTCATTGAAAATTTTTTGTATGTAAAATGCAATATAGAACAAGGACATAGAGTAGCACATTTCATGGCATGTCACACATACATATATGCATTGTAAGCCTCTTCATGGAATTAAAGTTAATGTCATTTTTCGGGTGTCATTTCTTATGACAAGACAAGTAAAAATGTTAAAGATGACAGTATGAACAAGACAGAGAAAGAGAAATGGTATGAATGTGTGGTTGTGAGGTTATGTGGATGGTTGGCAGTAGAACAGCACCAACAAAACCCAAGTGTTTATTAAATTATATATGTATGTACGTACGAATAGCATGTGTAGGCTTATGTTTATGTCAACAAAAAATAAGACCAAAACAAATATAGCAACAACAACAATAACAACCACCATCATACAAATGAAGCAAAATACTAAGAATTACAACAATGTTTTATTCTGGTTTTTGTTGTTGCTGTTACCTTACATTTATTTAATTAAAATAAATGCCTTTACATGTTAGCTCCTAAACATTAAGTAGTAAGTTTCTTCTTTTTTTTGCGAACTTCAGCAATAGGAAGAAAATTTCGGAAGAGAAAAAAATCCAAGATTTCTTTTGTTGTTCTTTGTTTGGTAAAGAATACACAAACACGCAACTTTTGTTCTCATTTGGCATAAACACCATTAACATGATTATGTAGCAAAGATGAATATTAAACAAGTCAAACTTCGTTGAATATCCTTTAATTTGGTCGAATTTAACCCTACGGTCAATAACCAAAAAAGTATACGTAGATCAATAACCGTGGTACATTTGTACCCATCCAAAGATAGCTCTGTAACTCATTAAAAAATTGGACTATCGTGAGGTTTTTTGTTTTAAATTAGTCTATGCGGATCTGGTCTAGATGTAGGAACTCAAAATTATATATACATTAAAATAATATATATTTAAATCTATGCTTAAATGATAATCTATCTAAAACAATCATAGTAAATTCGTTATAGTTTTCGAATGTGTTAAGCTTTTTTAGTTATTTTTTTATTGGGGTCTTATTTAGGTGTTCCTCAACCCCTCTGCAAATTTTTGTGGCCCTAGAAAACATGGGGCCATCAGGGCGACTCGTGGAAGTCAGAAACTACCCTGGTTTTCCTTTGGTATACAGGGACTAAAACAATTATTATTGCCAATTATTCACATTTTATGAGTTTAGAGATTGTGGTTGACACATTTTTAACACTATTTAATACTTTAAAACGTTATTTAATGATAGTTTATATATTTAAGCCAATTTAGGATTGTAATAAATCCGACTAATTCGATTATAGAAAAAGTTTCAGGCCCAATATGAAGAATAATTGGATAATAACTCACAATAATCATTGTTTTTGTCGCTGTATACCAAGGGAAAATCAGGGTAGTTTCTGACTTCCACGAGTCGCCCTGATGGCCCCATGTTTTCTAGGGCCACAAAAATTTGCAGAGGAGTTGAGGAACACCTAAATAAGACCCCAATAAAAAAATAACTAAAAAAGCTTAACCCATTCGAAAACTATAACGAATTTACTATGATTGTTTTAGATAGATTATCATTTAAGCATAGATTTAAATATATATTATTTTAATGTATATATAATTTTGAGTTCCTACATCTAGACCAGATCCGCATAGACTAATTTAAAACAAAAAACCTCACGATAGTCCAATTTTTTAATGAGTTACAGAGCTATCTTTGGATGGGTACAAATGTACCATGGTTATTGATCTACGTGGGTAATAACTTTAAAAAATTGTAAAAATTATATATATGGAAAATATTTATAATTTTTTTCTTCGATTATGTGTGAAAATACCTCAAGAATGATTCCTCAAAATTTGATCCAAATATCTCCATTATTAAAAATTTTACAGCATTTTTATTCAAAAAAAGGTACAAATGTACCCGGTTATTGACCGTAGGGTTAATTAAGGAGAAAATTGTAAGATATGTAGCCTTCACCATTCCATAACATATCATTACATATAATCTTAAAACAAACAGTGAACATTATTTTTATATTTCTTAAATGTTTTGTTTCGTGACAAAAATTTTAGTTGGTATAAATATTTAATTTTTTTTTTGAAATGTGTTCCAAGATGACTATGTCTCTTGAAACCAAACCACATGGCATACATAAATACGTCCTAAGGAGAAAATAACAAAAAATTCCAAGGACACATATACTTACTTGACCATACGTTCCTGTTCATAACGTGCTATCCAACAGGGCAGTGTCATATCAAGACTTGTTGCATGATGTAGAAAATAAACCATAGCTCGGGTATTCTCATCCTTTTTTTGTAGGCATATGGCAGGCAATTGGTGTAGCAGATGTGGCAAAGAATATTATGGGAGATGAGATAAAGGAGAAGAAAAACAGCAAAAATGTTAAATAGAGGTAAAGTTCATTAATATTGTCAAATAAAAAAGCAAAAGTTTCTTAGCATAGCAACTACGAGGGTCGTTCAAAAATTTTCGATTTCTCAAGAACATATATTTAAGATTCGGGATTTTTACAAGAAAGTTTTTTTATATAAGAATAACATTGGGTCTTCTTAAACACTATTTTAAAGACCTTCTGATTTGCTCTGAGATGGTTTTCGTGTATATACTATAAAAATATAAAAATATATATATATATAATATATATACTATAAAAATACATACCGGTCCTAAAAGACCTATTGTTCTTACAGACTTTGTGGTCTTTAGTATAAATACCCTCTGATCTTTATTAAGAAGACCTTATTGTTCTCTATAAGAACTCTATTGGGAGATCTCTTCTATCGTATAAAAAGACATCTTATTTTGCTATTAGAAATTGTCTTCGTCTTTTATAAGAAGAGGTATTCATATTCTAAAAGAACCTTTAATCATATCAGAAATCGAAGACTTCTTGGTCTTTTAAAACAAGACCTTCTGATCTTCTATAAGAAGACCTCCGGTTCTCCTAAACAAAGATCTACTGGTCTTCCATACAATTATCGTCCAATCTCCTATAATACGAGAAGGTAGAATACCTCTTTTTATAGAACGATCCCCAGGTTTTCTATCAGAAGACCCTTTTGTCTGCAATAGGAGAGTCATGTGTTTCATTATAGGAAAACATTTTGGTATCCTATGTCTTTTAAATAATGGCCTTCCACTGTTCTATAAGAAGACCTTCATATCTTATATAAAATTACCGTCCAGTCTTTTATATTCAATATCTTTTGGTAATCTACAAAAAGACATTCTGTTCTTCTATGAAGCCCTCATATTCTGTTTTAGTGATACCTCTTGTACTTCTCTGAAAAGGTAGTATATCTCATTTTCTACTAAAACTATCCCTTGGATTTCTGTCAATATAAGGTCATATCGTCATATATAAGAAGATCTTCCGACCTCCAACAAGAAACCTTCTCGCCTTCCATAAGGATACCTTCCGATCATCTATTAGGATACCTTCCGATCTTCTATAAGAAGACCTTCCAAACTTTTATAAGAAGGCCTTCCGATCTGCTATAAGATGTCATCTAGATCCTATATAAAAACCATCTGATCTTCCGATTTTCTATAAGAAGATAAATCCGTGGTTCTTTATTATAAGATAACTTACTCTTATTGATGAAGGCATTTTGGTCTTCTATTAGAGGACCTCTTTGTTTTCTATTGTAAATCCACATGATATTCCACTCTCTGGCCTTCTATAAGACGATCACTTGGCCTTTTAGGAAGACTATATATATTTCTAAAGTAATAAAGAAAACCTGAATGTGATCATCAACTATTCGTTTATTGTTTTCGAAGAATTCTGCATTACTATTTATATACTTTTAATGCCCTCAACCCTGATAGGTGGGAGTAACAAGAAATCATAGTGAGTCAAGGCGCATTCGGGTTAGCTGTTATGTCCAGGTTTTTTTGCCATGCTTTCAGCCAATGTATGAGAGTTAGCATTATAAATGTTTTTTTTTATTATTTTTCTGAAGGTTTTAGTGAAAATTTGAGATATTCAACTCAGAATTGAGTTCTTACGTTGCTATTGTCCCCGCATAATATAATATACTTGTCAAAATCTTGAGCATATAATTAATATTAATTTATGTTACATACAAGGCGTATGAATAATAACATAACAATAACATATTACTATATATTACTATATTACTGTTATTGTTAATTGTAAACCTTATCCATTTATTTATTATTTCATTTCCAATAATATACCGCGACTTCTTAAAAGAAATCAAACTTTGATTGCATTATGGAAACGTCAACAATTGATGGAATTATGTCGAAAAATGCCCAACCCCGCCAGTTTCACTTTCCTTTCTTATATTTATTATTACTTACTTACTCAATACTTTTTCTTAAAAAAAAAGAAATACCAAAATATTTACCTGATCTCGAAAGTCACTACGCCAACCGGCAATAAAGTGCGGTGCATGGGTACCAAACAAAGCGCCCAAGAATATACGTTCGAATGTCTTTTCGCATGCATAAATTTCCTCTGTAAAGAAATAAAAGGACAATGAATGTAAGATGGCAATATAAAAACGAGGATAAGTGGAAATTAATGACGATATGTCTGTTTGTTTAATTCTTTTCCCTTATTCTTATTCTTTGCAAACATATTAAAGACAGTGTGTGTGAGTGGATTACAAAGGGCTTGAAATAAAACGCATTGTAAACTCGTTTTTAAGATGATGGTGTACACCATAACGTATAATTATTATTATTTCATTTGTACACCAAGGCGTATACATATTAATCATGTGATTAACATGTATACGTTACTGTGTACGTGAGGGAGAGATGTAGTGACATTCGAATTTAAAAATTATAATTTTTTACATTACTGGTACTAATTAAATTAAAATTCGTTTAAAGCTGAATATAAATTCCATTCATAAATTTTTCTAAAAATAACAATATCCCCATATTATACGAAATTTGTCATTTATTGCCAGCTTCATGTCGTTTCATACAATTTAATAATATGCATGCTGTCCTGGCATTATGGGGAAATACGATTATTATAGTCGACAAAAACGCATTGATGCGTACTGAAAATTTAGACCTCTCTAAAAGCAGTATTTTTCATTTACGCTTCAATGATTTGCATTGCGTTGGCTTTCAAGTGCCAAAAGTGAAGGACTGCAAAAACATCGACAACTGCAAATGTTGAGCTCTGCACAGGCTTGCTTGTTGCACGTTCATTATATGGTAGAAGAATTTGTCGAGGCATAAACATGGAAAACATTTAAATTTCTACTTAAACTTGTTGAATGAAGTGCGAAACAATGGCGTTTGCCAGAAGAACGATAACTGCAGCAGCAACATACAACTGTGATATTGTTGTCGTTAATGTGTCGATGTGGAAATGACGCGACAATATGGTTAAACGGGTATAGAAATTTTAAAAATTTGTGGATTTTTGAGGAGCTGAAGGCTACTAGAGATGATATCAAGGGACAATTTATCGACGAGCTAAAGAGAACCTTTTACAGCTGAAGGAATCTTTATAGATAGAACGAAGGGAGTATTTCATAGTCGAACTGAAGAGAGTCTTCCATAATCGAGCTGAAGGGAGTCTATCAGAGAAGAGTTGAAGGGAATCTATCATAGAAGAGTTGAATGATGTCTTCTATAGACGACCTGAAAGTTGTCATTCATAGATGATCCTGAATAGAGTCTTTCATAGACGAACAGAAGGAAGTCATTTATAGGGGAGCTAAAGAGAAACATTCATAGCTGAAAAGAGTCTTTCATAGACGATCTGAAGACAAGCTTTATACACGAGTTTAGGAAAGGCTTTAATAACGAGCTGAAGTGCGGATTTATACGAGCTGAAGGAAAAATTTACAGACGAGCTAGTGGTAGATGAATGGTGTATTTATAGACGAACTGATGGAAATATGAATTCAATTTGTTCATACTTTATGGTACCTCGGGTATAGTCTTCCTACAAATCCATAAATACGGGTTTCCCTTGATATGAAGGCCATATCGTGTAGGTCGAATATTTTCTAATTTTGACAAAAAAAAAAAAATGCAATGGGTAATGGGATATTTGTTCTCTGTATCGAAAAATAAACTGACCTTCCTCTCTTGTATTACACTGACTTTTACCATAGACGACCGGAGGCCGGAACTATTATTTGGTTGTTTATTTATTAATAGGTTGAATCTTCATCTGATTTAGATACAGATTCAGAATATTCTTATACATACGCTTACCCTAGAACATTTAACCCAACTACAAATTTTTAAATTCCCTTTTGTATAATTTGCTGACAATTTTCACCCTGTGTGTTACTGTGCCGGGAAAATGGTTGTTTTGAATATTTTATACGAGTATTTAATTCTCACATAGCCACATGTACAGGCATACAAACATACAAATTGTTATGTTTTTGGTAAACAAATGAATATATAAATGTCTGTGTATGCAAAGAGAGATTGGTCTATTGGCAATGTAAACAAACAAACACCCAAAGAGAAAAATATGTAAATATTTATGAATTTAGGATTTTTGACATTTGCATTTAACATACATAGAACAATTGTGACGAATTACACATACATACATAAATACATAAACATAGAATTTATGAGAAGAGGTTTCATATACCACTCATGGATATACATATGGAAATAATTAGTCGGAATTTTATTAGATATGAAGGGTTATTAAAGAAACAAAAAAGAATCTGGTGGGAATGAACTGGGTTATAAATGAAAATCGAATGAAGTCTATTAAAAAAATTCGAAAATCATCTTGGCTGGCCCACTTAAAACTCGGAGGATACGCCAAGAAGCCAATATTCGCATCTTGTGGCTCAGAACCCCCAAGAATTTTTGTTGAGAAGCCTCTCCACTCCATACTTATAGTTTGGTATGTTGTAATGTATGGACCTTACTTTTTTAAAAATAAGGTTGATTTTCAACAAGACAGTCTTTTGCGAGAAAGGCCTTGGGACCGAGGTATATCGCAAAGAGGTGATGACAATTTACCAATGAGTGTGATTTAATATAGAATGCGGCAGGATTCGAGGACAGCACTTTGCGATTTGACTATGCGAAATTTCATTAAACAGATATTTTCTAGTATGCGTGGTCGCTATGAAATTTATACTAACCCGGTCCTTATACCAAATTTTCAATATTTTTACCCAATTTTTTTAGATTTTCAGCGGATACATGCCCTCTATGCAGAAAATTTCCAATGTAGGTTCATATTTTGAAACAGACATTTAAAAATCGTGCGAGGTGTTTGGGAGGTCCTAGACACATTTTCCAACTTAAATTTCTGCAAATTGATATTTTGAGTTTTCCAGACCGTGTTATCTCTCGAAGGGGTGATCAAAATTGGCCATTTTACACCTAACAGCACAGGGTCGATTCAAGACCTAAAGAATAGAATTCTTTGCGATGTGGCAATGTAAAATTTCCTGAAATGGTCATGAAAGCAGGCTCGCTATGACACTTTACACTCCGGGTTCTTGAAAGGTAAAGGACATCCTTCATCCCTGATAAATGTTTTGAAATAATCAGCATATAAAAATCACTCGGAATTTTAGGTGTTTTGAAAGACCTAGCCACATTTTCAAACGTACATTTATAGTTTGGGATATATTTTACACCTTACGACATCTAACTTTGGAGCTACGTGAAATATAAATTGAGGACAGAAAGCAGTCACTTTCCATTTGACATCGGGAAATTTCATTCAAAAGGATAAGATGGTCCGTTTGAAATTTGTACTTGCAGCATATAGGGCATTCTGAAAACAAATTTTCAAATAGTCTCATGATTTGACATAGAACATTTATAGGGTCCGATTTGTAATTGTGTATTTCGAATTTTAAGAGAATAAAATACTACCCCCCAATATGAAGTCCCGTCTCATTTTATGATCTTGTGAACGTTTTCTAACCAATGATTCTTTAAATTGAATTTTCAAGGTTTTAGACTCCCACAAAAACAACATCCTCCTAAGTTTTAAAAATGCTCTTGAATATTAGGTCTTTTAAAGGTATTATCCAGATTTTTAAACTGAAATTGTTGTAATTTTAATTTTGTGTTTTCAGAGGATCGAAAACCTTTTGGCTAATATAAAGTAGTCGCCCATTTTAGCTGTTTTTAAGGCCCTTGTCGTATTTTACAATTGTACAGATCTATTTATTCAAATTGGCAACCCGGATGTTTTTTGTTTCTGTTGTTGTAGTAGCAGCCTTATAGCCTAGACAGACGACAGCCTTAATTTGCATTAACACTGTTAATGCAAATTAAGGCTGTCGTCTGTCTATGGTATTATTGCTTTTACACAATGGACTGGGGTGACAGACGTTGGCGTATAACTCGGGTCGTTTCGGATCGTAGACCCCTCTATCGTCGAAACATTTCTGACGGTAGTGACTCTACATAACCCCCAATATAAAGGTCAGGCCCCATTTTAGGGGTTGTAAAAGGTCCAAGCAAGGTTTTCTAACCACTAAATCTGTAATATTATTTTCAGACTCCCTACAAAAACAACTTCTTCCCAAGTTGTTTTTATAAGGATTTTAGATGTTTTGAAGGTCCTACCCTCATTTTGAACTAACGTGGCTGCATTTTGAATGTCGTGTTTTCAAAGGTTAGAAAATCTTGGCATAATCCAAATTGTAGATACATTTTTAATGGTCGGTAGTACTATTTTTCAACCGATGTGAAGTATTTTTAAGGTCCTAGCCGAGTTCGCAAAAAAGGTTTTGGGCATAAATTTCTACTTAAGTAGTAATTTGTTATTTTCAGTTGTGGTATGTTACGATTTACGTCCTACCAAAAATTATTAATATTAGTCCAACTTTTAGGGAAGCCTACATATAACGTTACACCACAAATATTTTTGGTAGCTTGAAAATTAATATTTTTGGGATTCTCATTGAGTAGGAAAAATCCCTACAAAAAGTTATCAACATCGGCCCATGTTTCCGGGTAGCCTCCATATTCGCTATTTTGGACGGCTTTGAAAATGTTAGTCAACAAATTCGTTCTAATTTAATTTTACAGGTTCACATGGGGTTTCAAATGTTTCCTACTAAATATTTTCCTTCTAAATATGATCAATATTGATCAATATGATCAATATTTTTGGAAATCCCGAATTTCATTTACAACATTCGTAATAACTACAATTTTGTATTTCGTCTTCTCAGAGGCAAATTTCAATATAGGTCTATTTTTTATATAGACCCCATTAAAAACCATCTCTTATTTTTTGTAATTTGCAAATCCTAACTGCATTTTTCCAAGGAAGTGGCTGTAATTTGGCGTAATTTCTTAGAGCAGAAAATGTCAATAGAAATCCTCCCATATATATATATATATGGAACTATGACATATTTATTTCATGTTATGGTGATAATTTGTCGATAATTTTTACAAGGTGTCATAAATCGTCATTTTGAAATATTACAAAAAATGTACAGCCCCTTCTTGAGATTCAATCCGATGAAATATATATACACCATATATACACCAATTTATCAACTTCACTTATAAAATGAAACCGACAATTTGATACACACTCCATAAATTATTAGGAGCTCCTATCCTCTCCTCTCTTTCTCCTCCCTCTCAGCGGATGGTAAATATAAATTATGTTTAATTGCAACATAATTTATATTTACCATTAAACACACCAAGCTAACAAAGCTTGGTCAAAGCCAACACAACGCCCTGGTTGGTTAGTTAGTAAACACCAAAAACGATAATCATGTTTAAATAGTTTATCTTCTGCCATGGCGATTCACATAATTTCGAATAAAACGAATATCAACAACAACAACAAAACGATAACATGTTTACACCTCTCTACATACATTACTACACGACCAATGCTGTAGTGATAGCATTGTGCGAATGGTTCTAGAGATGTTATACTTACCCAATAAAACCACAACGACCGCAGAATCTCGTACACCCCAATCCCAGCAAGTACGCAAGGCAATATACAAGATGTTATGGTATTTGCCCATTAAACAGACCTGCGAAAGAAATTGGAAAGAAAAGTCAAATAGGTGTTTTGTGGCAGGGGGAGAGCTGAGAATTTAGAACATAGATTATGGTTCAGTTGGGTTTGGTATATGGTTGATACAGTTTTGGGTAATTTATTTTTATGTTAATTGGATTAATTAGAAAATATAAATTGTGATTATGGAACAAAAATTGTGTGTGTGTGTGTGAAAACATTTCAAGACATTTTTATTGGAAAGAAAATAAATGTGTTCATATACCGATAAGGATAATATTGTAAACAGAATATATGAAGAAAAAAGCTGAAAATATGATATTCTAATTTTAATAAAATTAAGTTGATTCCTAAGCCCGTGGATCATACAAAAAAGCTGATTTAACCAGTAAGGAAATTAGTAAAGTCGGACGGGGCCGACTATATGATACCTTTCACCACTTTGGGGATATACTACATATGTATATTTACAGATATCGTCTTTTCGAAGGAACATTCACATAAAATTAAACGTACTTAAAAATGCGATCTTTATAAGTAAACCGACTGACATCAATCCTTACACATTCTGCAATCTATTCTATTCTATTAAATTGACTTTTAGCAAACTTTGCGCACGCTATTCGGTATGCTTCACTGTTTAAAATGTAATATCAATCAAGCACCCATTGATTATTTAGTTTACAATCAACATGAATATGTCCAAAATATATATGGAATCTATGCTATATCTAAATCTGAACCGATTTCAAGGAAACCTATAGAGATTAATTTAGCTATGGATCTTTACACCATTTACTTAAAATCCGAAGAATGTATATATAGGAGGTGTATGTAAATCTGAACCAATTTCAAGAAAACTTGACACACACAAGTACATTGTACAAAATTGTGTGCGGGTCGGCCAATCTTTTGTTCTTTAGTGCACAATTTACATTAAATCGGACGAAAATATATATTGGAGCTATATCTAAATCTGAACCGATTTTCTCGAAACTTATCACACATCATTCTGCTCCTAATTCAGTAGCCTGTGCCAAATTTCATGCAAATCGAAAGATATATAGGGACATTGGTGCACCATTTACCTTAAATCGGACGAAACTATATATGGGAGCTATATCTAAATCTGAACCGATTTCCCGAAACTTATCACACATCATTCTGCTCGTAATTCAGTAGCCTGTGCCAAATTTCATGCAAATCGAAAGATATATAGGGACATTGGTGCCCCATTTACCTTAAATCGGACGAAAATATATATGGGAGCTATATCTAAATCTGAACCGATTTTTCCCAATTTCAATAGGGTTCGTCCTTGGACCAAATAAGTGACTTGTGCCAAATTTCATCTAAATCGGATTATAAATGTGACCTGTACTTTGTTTACAATTTAACATCTACAGACGGACAGACGGACGGACGGACGGACATGCATAAATCGACTCAGAAAGTGATTCTATGCATATTCTCAAAAGGAACCATGTGTCTATCTCGTTTCCTTTTGCCTGTTACAAACATATGCACAAAGACATAATACCCTGTACCACAGTGTGGTGAATGCTTTTCAGCTATGCAGAGCTCTAATATTCTGCATTTTTTTTTTGAATCAGAGTAAATATATTCATTTAGTACACCCTATACTCAGTATTTTGGAGAGTTTTAGAAATGTTTTTCAGCCGAATTCGCTCAAATTTGATTTACAGGATCTCGTGGGGTGTCAAACCTTCCTACCAAAAATTATCAATGTAACATTTCCAAACCATGGGGCTCTGGTTATGGTCAAGGACACGCATATGACTTTCGGCTACGTTCAGATGATATTCCGGGGATAAAATGGATCGAAAACTTTGTTTTTATGATTTTGTAGTCCATTCGCATCAGCCGAACTTCGCAAATTTTCCATGAGGAAGGTGATCTGATGAACTAATTCGAATAATTTTTAATTCCAACCAATCAAGAGAGTGCAAGTATCGCAAAATATTTTCCACGCTCGGAATATATATCCGCAGAAAATTGGAGATCCGTGGTAGATCTGTTCGGTTTTAATTTGGTAGACCTCGTCCGATAATTTGGAGACTTTAGCCACATTTCAAACCGATGGGGATGTAATTTGGTACAAATGGTTGTGGAAGGCTAACTTATAAACAAATTTGTGCGTTTGATATAACCAAGTCTGGATATAACCCCACCTAAAAGTTCCGCTACCTTTTTGGTATTAATAAATTGTTAACGGAATTTTCTCATGGAAGTGACAATGATTTTATATATCAGAGTGCTGATGAATAAAAAATAATTTAAAAAGTACCTTTAAAGTTTTCCAACTAGAGAGTCTGTACTTTGGAATGCTACTTTTCCCCGTTTTAAGTATGTTTATGATCCAAGGAACATTTTCCAGACAATATTGCTATAACTAGATATTGGGGATTTTCAGGATAAAAAACCTCCAGGCAAAAAATAGTATATGTCCATTTATGACATAGAAGAAGAAAAATATATTTAGAGAAAAAAGTTTATATGGGACCACATCTTCGATGTTTTGAATATTTGCTGCAATTCCCAGAAGTTTCTGAAGTGGCTAAAATTTGGCATTCCATATTCCTGGAAAATAAAAACTTATTCCCACGTTCATTGTTGGTCAATGTTTTTTCTTCGATGGCAGGTCCCGTTTAATGTTCAATATTTTAGTTTTTTGAAAAATGTATCTCTATTTTCTTGTCGAAGTGGCAGAAATTCAACATTCCGAATTCCTTGTGAATAAAAGCTGTCAACATAGGTCAAAGGTTTTTTACTTAGAACCTTAATGTTCTGTATGTTTAAGTTCCTAGCTTAATTTTCCAACCTGAGGGTATATAATTTGATATTTAATTTTCTCAGACCATAAACAACATTCTAACAGAAAACTTATAACGACAAAGTCCCCCTATAAAGACGTCGACCGATGTAAGGTATTTTGAATGGACATTACATAGGGGATGGTACAAACACACATTAAAATCCCTTGCTGTCCTTTTTCCAGAGAGAGTTAATTATGACATATTACAAGGCTAAAAATAATGTTTTCATATTCACCAACAAAAACTAATTAATAAAAAATAATTTTTATCCTTACATCACCATTGGCGTCCTTTTGCTCACGATGATAACGGACAGCAGACAGTACAGCAATGCGTGCCACCTCCTCGGTTTGCATATTTTGACCTTCAAACATAAAAATCAACATTTTATTATTCGTGAATATTTAATGTTCAACATAATAAACTTACCATCACTACAACCACCGATTATGGCATTTAAATGATCCAAAACATCTCGGCGCGATGAACGATCCTGTAGTCCACTGCGGCTAATTTTATCCAATGTATCCGTGTAAAAACATTCAAATATAAAATCCATTATGGAAATTCTGCAGCACAAGCCTCAATATTTAAATTGCTAACACCAGTCACAGCAAACTATCATTGACTGTTTATTTGTTTTTCCTTCGAATTTCTGTTATGCCGCAACTAATTCAAAAAGAAACGACATAATGAAACCCTACAAATATTTTACGCCAACTATCGCTATTTCTTACAACAACAATTCAGTGACAAGTTGTTTGTTATTACACATCAAGTTTATTGTATGACCATTACATATAACAACTACCACCATTGAGCTTATTTCGGAAAATAGTTTTTAAATTATTCAACGTTAATTTTCATGTTCTAGGAAAACGCACTATATCGGAAAAACAACATAACTGGCAAACACTTGACCTAACCCAACACAGCCCCTCGAACACACTCGTCCACACACAAACTGTTCCCACTTGATAATTCTCTCAATTGGTTATGTTTATAAAATACAATTCTTGTTGGTGGTTTTCTTTGGTTCGAAAATGCCGGTTAAGTGTAACGAATTTTAAGAAATCTCAAACAAAACTAAACTCTGTACCCAGTCGTGTTGATATGAAAAGTATACATTTAGGCACTCTTGAGGGAAAATACATTTTCTCTCTTTTAAAAGAGAGTTTGTTTGAGAAGAGATTTTCGTAACCTAACCGGCTTTATTTGACATCAACACGTTGTATTTTCACGTTGTATACAGGGTGTCGTAAAAATGTGAGATGGAGAATTTTCGAAATATTTTCGAAATTGGGTAGGATACATTATATGGGTTCTAAAAATACGGGGTTTCATTCTAAACGATTCTAAAACGATTTTTTCAAAAATTCTGCAAACCCTAATAAATTAATGATTTACTTGTTTAGCCAGGACATTGTGCCCGTTGGAAGGGAAAATTCCTGGAAATATAGCACAGGACAGATGTATATTATGTGGTCGATCGTCTGGGTTTTGGCACCGCACCCACAGATGGGGTCGTGCTTGTGAAAAAACGGTGGCGATTTTAATTACGCCATCGTTTACGCGGTAGATAGAATTCAGTTTTTGTGTTTTATAGGTTCAAAATATACGGCTGCTACGAACCAAGGAGTTCCACATTGATATCCAAGCAATCGAGATATTGAAAGTTTATCTGTGTAGTTATTCATCTCGAATTGATTAGTATTTACTGGAGTTTATTATGAATGCATTTACAATTAATAGATATAGATTAAGGGTATTAGCATTTTTGGCGATTACTCCTGGGAAGAGAACATGTTGTCCCTAGTTATCAGTCTCACGATGAAGTTCAGCTGGGTGTCAATTATACATGGTAAGGGATGATCGACTCAACAGCAGTGAAACCAACAGCTTCGGTTTCCATTTTATACCCTATATAACTACGTTGTAAGGGTAATATAGCTTTGCCTGTAACGCCGCGAAATATTGGCCCTAGACCACCTTTTAGTATACCGATCGTCATATCTCGACTAGCTGGGTCAATCTAGACATGTGTCTCCGTCTATATGTCCATTATAATATGTAAACACGCTACAAGCCACAGTCAAGGATCAATCTTCACGAAATTTTGCATGTAGGACCGATTCTGGCCAATGACTGATCTGATTCGTTAATATTTAAGAGATGAAATATTCGAATGGCTGTCTTGATAATAAAGGGTCTATATTTGGCGGGTCAAACGAATTATGTTTTATGGATGTAATTTTTACTCCGGGAAAACATAATTCGAAAAAGTGGCGTAGAGAAGCTGTTGACCTCCAACCGGTCAAGAGAGTGTAAGTATCGCAAAATAATGTCCAGACTCAGAATATAAATCCGCAGAAACTTGGAGCTCAGTGGTAGCTCTGTTGGGTATCATATGGTAGACCCCGTTCGACTATACTGCTCTGCTCACTTGCTTCTTTTATCTCCTCAAACTTAGCAAACGCATTTCATTTATCGTAGTCCTCAGTTTTGCGAATAGGAATATGTGCGGTGAATTCAGATGTTAAGTCGTTTGTTTCTAGCGAAAAACACATTCATATTTCATGGAACTGACATAAAAAATAATATTGATTATTTTTAGTAGGAAGATTTTTCTATTTATTGGGAGCATAAATCTCCAGAAGCAGACAATTAGGTTGAAAATGTCTCCAAAAGCCTCGAAAAGACGAATATTGGGGGTACCATTTTATGAGAGCTACCTAATTATAAAGTGGACCGATATATCCCATTTCAATACCAACCATCCCAGCTCTTTCTTATATATTGAGAACTTTATCCTAATGTCAAAAGACGGACGGATTTTTTCTTCTATATTTTATATTCTGTTTTAAAACTTTATTATTTTATTCATAAATAAAAATTTTCGAATTAAATTTAGTTATAAAATTAAGCTAGGAGATACAAAAAAAAAGTTACGATGACATAGTCCGCATATTAAAGTCCCACCTCATGGTGGAAGGTAGGCCAAGTTCCGTCCGACCGAACAAAACTACTTTTTTAACTTGTTGTATATGCCATTCATACCGAAAATTTAAAATTTTTTGCTAAATTTTGATACACCCTGTAATACTTAATGCCAGTACTCTTTTTATCAAACATATAACATTAATATGGCAACACTGCGCATAACCATGCGCTCTTATTGTAAACAATGACAAAGAGGGTGGTGGTGGGCAAATAACAAAATAACACGACAATGTATAGAAATTGTAGAGCACAAGTAGAGGGTAGTAAACAAAATAAAAAAATAAAACAAAATTGTTGATGCTTCTTCTTGTTGTTCATATTTATGAAAAATGCTTGCTTCAGCACGTATAAATAATGTATAGAAGCCAGAATATTTTGTTATAAGATATTACGTCTGAGGTAGAAAAAGTTCCATGCAATTGTAAACAATTAACTCCAAATATATATGTATATAGAAATCTTCACAATACTGATCAAATTTGAGAACTTCACAACACACTTCCCGCATTTACAAAATGACTTTCATTTCATTTGTTACATAGGAATTATTTATTAATAAATATTTACTCAAACACACGCACACACATTCCTTTATTATGTTTACATTCTTTTCCAATTACGCGAACTTGTTTTCTTTTGTATTTTCGTATTTATTTTTATTGAATGTATATTTTTTCCACTGACAACCGTTTGTTTATTTCATTCAAGTAATACTGAACTGAACTCTGACAAGTGCAGTTAATTGTTTTCTGTTGCTGTCATTCTCAGCTGGTGTATGTTTGGGGGAGAATTTATTTGTTTTCTTTTTGTGTACTCTCTTAAATATCTACGTATGGATTTATCTTATCTCACAGCGTATGTTCAGTGTGCGCCGATTTCGAGAGATTTCGCGAATGTACAGTGGACGTGTAGAGAGAAAATGAAATCGATTAGCCGCGAATGTTCTTTTAAACTTTAGGTGTGTATCTATAGTTTGAATGGAGAATATTGAAAGAAAATATTATATATAGAAAAGTATAACAGTTTGTTATATAACAAAAACGTGTCGAGAATTTTTTTCATATTTATAAAGCAAACAATATATAAAATAAATAATTTCTGCTTCAAATAATTATCAGCATTTTTATAGTGACTGTAAAATATTATTATGGAAAAAAAATTTTTAAAAAATGGACAAAATTCGTAACAAACGTGTGTGAAATAGTTTACATTTTACTAAATTTGATATGCTTGGTACTGGTGGAACCATTAGAATTATAATCCGCAAAACTGTTATGAGAACCTATTTTGGGAATTTTAAATCGCATTTGGTTGGTAGGGATTTTATTTTATTCAGTTCATTATTTAGGAAAAATTTGTTATTAAGAATTGTTAGTTTTATCAGCATAATATTCCTTTTTTAAAAAAATGAGAAAAAGTAAATAAGTTTTTCTATTTATTCTATTGTTATCTTAAATATATTAAAAAATAGTTTTCCAAGTTGCTTCATAAACATGAATTAATATATATATATATAAGCGATGATTTTTTAGAGAATATTTTTTCAGGGGTCAAAACAATGCGTATTCAATGTACAACATAAGGCGTGGTGTAGGTTTTTAAAAATATTTTTTTCAATATCTTTAAAGGTGTGGATTTTTTAAAGAACGTTTTTTCAAGAACCAACACAAGGAGAAGATATTGGAAAGAATATTTTTTCAAGGACCAACCCATGGTGTGGATTTTTAAAGAATACTATTCCAAGGACCAACCCAAGGCCTGGATTTTTTAAAGAATATTTTTTCAACGTCCTTCCAAGGCGTGGATTTTTTTTAAATAATAGCTTTTGTCTTTGTGCATATGTTTGTAACAGGCAAAGGAAACGAGATCGATACATGGTTCCTTTGAGAACATGCATAGAATCACTTTCTGAATCCATTTATGTATGCCCGTCCGTTCGTCTGTCTGTCCGTAGATGTTAAATTGTAAACAAAGTACAGGTCGCACTTTTGATTCGAATTGGATGAAATTTGGTACAGCTAATTTATTTGGCCCAAGGACGAACCCTGTTGAAATTGGACAACATCGGTTCAGATATAGATATACCGCCTAAATATATTTTCGTCCGATTTAAGTTAAATGATGCACCAAAGTACCTATATACCTTTCGATTTGCACGAAATTTGGATTTTGGCGTACTAAATTCGTCTCAGATTTAGAAATATCTACCATATATATTTTCGTCCGACTTCAGGTAAATTGTGCATCAAAATCGCTTTATATTCTTCGAAATTTGACATAGCGTAGTGAATAAAGTCTAGAAAGATTAGTGTTAAGACTCGTGAAAATCGGTTCAGAATTAGAAATAGCTCCCATATATATTTTCGTCCGATTTTATGTAAATGGTGCACCAAAGCCCCTATATATCCTTGGATTGGCGCAAAATTTGGCATAGTGTACTGAATGAAGTCCAGAGCGATGTGTGTTAAGTTTCGTGGAAATCGGTTCAGTTTTAGATATAGATTCCATATATATTTTCGTCCTATTTTATGTAAATGGTGCACCAAAGGCCCTATATATTCTTCGATTTGCACGGAATTTGGCATAGCGTAATGAATAAACCATAGAACGTTGTGTGTTAAGTTTCGTGAAAATCGGCTCAGATTTAGGTATTACTCCCACATATATTTTCGCCCGATTTAATGTAAATGGTGTACCAAAGTCCCTTTATATCTTTCGATTTAGACGAAATTTGGCATAGTAAACTGAATTAAATCTGGAATAATGTGTGTAGAGTTTCGTGAAGATCGGTTTAGATTTAGATATAGCTCCAATATATAGTTTAGTCCGATTTTATGTAAATAGTGCACCAAAGTCCCTATATAACATTCGATTTGCACGAAATTTGGCACAGCGTACTGAATTAAGCCTAGAATGATGTGTACTAAGATTCGTGGAAATCAGTTCAGATTTACATATAGCTCCCATATATATTTTCGTCCGATTTAATGCCAATAATGCGCCAAAGTCCCTATATATCATTTGATTTGCACGAAATTTAGCACAGCGTAATTAATTAGGTTTAGTATGATGTGTGCTAAGTTTCCTGAAAATCGGTTCAGATTTAGATATAGCCCACATATATATTTTTGTCCGATTTAAGGTAAATGGTGAACCAAAGTCCCTATATACCTTTCGATTTGCACAAAATTTGTCATAGCGTACTAAATTAAGTATACAATGATGTGTATTAAGTTTCGGTTTAAATTTAGACATAACTCCTATATATAGTTTCGTCCGATTTTAAGTAAATGGTACACCAAAGACCCAACGTTAGGCCGATTGACACAAAATTTTGCCCAACGTAGTGAAGTTAATACAACCTAGCATGTGAAAAGTTTTGTTGAAATCAGTTCAAATTTAGATAGAGCTTCCATATATATTTTAAGTAAATGATGCACCAAGAACTCAAAACCTATATGCACAAAACATACTGAAATTAGTGTAACTTAATCTGTGACAAGTTTCGATTAAATCGGTTTAGATTTCGATATATCTTTTATATATATTTTCGTCCGATTTTAAGTAAATTTAGTATTGGTTGCAGAATGACATGTTTATGGATTCAATTTCATTTTACTGGTCCTTCAAAAATGCGACGTCTGATAGAATTCATCTGTTGAATATGCCCAAAGTGGTGAAGGGTATCATATAGTCGGCCCCATCCGACTTTACTACTTTCCTTACTGGTTTTGAATATTTTTTCAATGTGCTTCTAAAGCGTGAAATTTTTAAATAATATTTGTTAAGGTTCTTCTAGGAGTGGATTTTTTAGATAATATTTTTAAGGTATTTCCTAGGAGTCGAATTTTTAAATAATGTTTTTTAATGTCCTTCCTAGTTGTGAAATTTTTAAACAATATTTTTAAAGGATTTTCCTAGGCGTTAATTTTTTAGATAATATTTTTAAAATAATTCCGCAATATTTCTTAAGCATCAATATTTTAATTATTGCAATATTCGAGCTTAATCCCATTTTGTTGTTTTTATAAAAAAAAAAACAAATATTTATTAGTGGGGAAAGTATTTAACTTTATAGTTAAATTTGGTATTACGGGATATTAGAGGGTAAATGACGTTTTTGAGAAAATTTTCTTTTTAATATAGCTCTCACATATGGGCCCCGCCCATTTTCCGTATTAAAACAACAATTTGGCATTTAAATTTCTGGCCAATAAAAAAATTATTTTCAGAAATTATTTAATGTGGGTTAATGTTTTAATATAAATTGAAGTTCCTGCTTCAATTTTCCAACCTAAGTATCTGTAATTGGAACCATTATTTTTTCATAGCATGGTACAACCACATAAGGCAATAACATTATCGCCTTATATCCCAACTGATTTAAGGGGACCCCCCCCATTCTCGGGGTCAATTTTTTTTGATTTAATTCGAATCTATACTAATTCAAGAATGTCCCTACAAAATTTCAAGTGAAAATCTCAAGAACTCTTGAAGATATAGCCGATTTATTGTGTCAGCATCAAGTTACGGCTAAAGGGCTTCTCAAACTTTAAACGCGTTTTTCTCTTTTGTGTATGGCGGGCACGATAACTCAAAAACTAATAACCCAATCGATTCCAAATTTTTACACGTTTCTCGCCATCAAAAATAAGGACTTCTCTTTAATTACAAAAACAACAACAAAACAATTACAAAATTTTTTTGTAAATAATTTTTCCTCTCTTTTAAATCTTCAAATATATATGTGCAAAGTTACAAACCTTAACAAGCATTGGTTTTGATTTACCAGCCCATTGAAAATCTTGAAAAATTAAAAAAAATTTGAATGTCATCCTGGTTTTGGAGGGTATAAGAAGTTCAGCCCGTTTTTTCTGATGCACATGCATAAAAATTTGAACTCATTTACCCTTTGAACCCCTGCAGGACATTTAAAGGATAACTTGTATGATGATAAATGTTATTAACTACACCATTTACACACATGTCATTACCACAATGCAATACAAAACATCAGCAGTTTATTAACCGTTCTACCTTTGCAAAGATGCTAAATCATTGCAATGTTCGCATATAAGCATAGCGCAAGGACTAAAATAAATTGTCGTGACATTAGTCTACACTTTTGTTGAGAAACAGTAAACAATGATTCTGAGTATCTACACGTGTAAACATAATATGAGAGCAAACCACGGAGCATTTTATCACACGTACATAAGATGCTCGTGATATAAAATGTTGCGTATGGATAAGATGTCCAGAATTGAGTTACACTACACGTGTCGTTGTCGCATTAGAAGGACACTAGGAACTTAGCTTTAATTCCGAAAATATGTCATTGTCCGGTAAAAAATAATTGTATTGTCTCCTAAAATCATGCAATCCATTTTCTTTTGTCACACATAGAACCCGTTTGAATTCCTCCTTCTTCGCTCCTCTATATGCAGAAAAAAAAACTCAACAGAAATATAAGAAGCTTTAAATTTCTTTCTATTCATCATTTTAAATCAAATGAAATAAAAAGCGACGTATACCACTGACTTCTGTTTGTTTGTGTGCAATTTGGTATTATTTTACTCGGGCAGATAAAATAAAAAGGATGTTATTCTATCGCTTTCATTTATATTACACATTTACAATTGAACTTTACGCATTATCTGTGATTACTTTGGAAATGCCGGTGGAAATTGTGCCACATCAAACACAATAAATTACAAAAGAATTGAATTGAAATTGAATGGCAAAGTGATAGAAACAGAAAATCATTCTATGAAACATCAACTCCTGTCAATGAATGAAAGCTTGGAGAAGGGGAGCATATGCGTATCTAAGAGTGTAGCATGTCATTCAACAAATGCAACTCTCATTGGCTTACTTTCAATTGACAGACTGTTGGCTTGACTGTCTGCCTGACTGATGGGATAGATGGATGATGTTGCCATCCATCTCTGTGTCGTTCATTTAAACACGAATGCCGTCTTTCTTTCATTGCTTCGCTATGCAGGTACAAATGAATGCACTTTACTTGCTGCAGGTCCCGGGTAGCATTAATATGACTGACAAGCAAATGAAGCGTGTTAAGTTACGAACAGTGGATGTAATGATGGGGCTCTAGGAGTTTAGTGAAAAACGAAAGAGGACCTGAAATATTCTAGAGTCAATTTAAGTTTTGTGGATCTTTCAAATAGACATCTGGAGCTTATATAGGCTATTTTAGGTCTCTGGTTCTTCTATTGACAGTTCAAGGTATTCTTATGACAAAGAAGACCTCTAGGTATTATATGGACAATAGGGGACATATAGGTCTCCTAGGACAATAAGATTTCTAGATACTATATAGACAGTAGAAGATCTTTAGGTCCTCCATAGGTGATAGAAGACCTCTAGATCTCTAGACCTCTATGATCAATAGAGGATAATAGAGGGTCCTTTCTAAGCGTAACCGTTTTAAATAATATTTTTGGCTATCCTTTCTAAGAGTGCATTTTTTAATATTTTTTTTCCAAATTTTTCCTATTCCAGGAGTGTGAATATTTAAAATAATATTTTATAAAGGATGTACCAAGTGTGGATTTTTAAAATACCATTTTCACGGTATATTTTATAACATTTTTAAAATAATTTAAAATTTTTAAAATAATGTTTCTTCAAGTCTTTCCAAGGCGATTTATATACCCTTCACCACACTGTGGTACAGGGTATTATGTCTTTGTGCATATGTTTTCGTCCGATTTAAGGTAAATGGTGCACCAAAGTGGCTATATATCTTTCGATTTGCACGAAATTTGACATAGCGCACTGAATTGAGTCTAGAATGATGAGTGGTGAGTTTCGGGAAAATCGGTCCAGATTTAGATATAGCTCCCGTATATAGTTTCTTCCGATTTTATATAAATGGTGCACCAAAGGCCCTATATATCTTTCGATTTGCACTACATTTGGCGTAGCGTACTGAATTGAGTCTAGAGTTATGTCTGCCAAGTTTCATGAAAATCGGTCCAGATTTAGATATAGATCCCATATATATTTTCGTCCGATTTAAGGTAAATGGTACACCAAAGTCTCTATATATCTTTCGAATTGTACGAAATTTGGCATAGCGTACTGAAGTAATTGACGCACTAAGGAACCAGTATATGGCTGATAGGAACCAAACGTACTGAAGTTAGTATAACATAACCTGTGAAATCGGTTCATATTTGGATATAGCTTCCATATATATTTTCGTCCGATTTTAAGTAAATGGTGCATTAAACTCCCAATGTTTTTCAGATTGACATGCAATTTGCACATCGTACAAAATTTAGCATAGAATAACGTAACAAACGAATGACATGTCTATGGATTGATCTTAGTCGATTCACATTTCGATAAGTATTACATATTTTAGTTCATCCAATTTCATGTTAATGGTCCTGTTTAATAAACCCATAGTGGTGAAGGGTATCATATAGTCGGCCCCGTCCCACTTTACTACTTTCCTTACTGGTCCCACTTTACTACTTTCCTTACTGGTTTAAATAATATTTTATCAATGTGTTTCCACGGCGTGGATTTTTAATATTTTTTCAAGGTCCTTCCAAGGCATGGAAAATTAAAATAATACTTTTTAAGGTCCTTTAGATCTATTATATTTGTCCATCCCCTCTTTGTGGAACTTTCGAAGCCACTGTTCTTTTGTTCAAGAAAACCCCTAATCTTCTTTATTAACGCATTGCAGCAGCTACCTTTGTTATTTTTTATATGGAACTATTTTCACTTTGCGTATATATTTTATTTCTTAACATTACGAAAAAAACAACATCAACCTCGCTACCTTTAGTTAACGTATTTCTCATTTTCGTCTCTCCATTTCTCGTCCTTTTTTATTACATTTTTCAGATTACTTTGCGAAGAGATCAACCAGGATGAATCATTTAATTTGGAATATCGCGGACCAGTTGTCATGAAAGGTAAACCGACACCGATGAATTGTTGGTTTCTTACGCGCAATACAACAACAGCAACAGCTGGTGGCAGTACTGGCGGTGGTAGTACCAGTGGGGCTGCCGATTCACCATTGCCACCGCCAACACCAACAATAGCACCGCCAGCATCGGCAATGCCATTCTCAGAACAGCAGCAACAACCTCCTACACCAGCTGTGCGCACACATGCAACAACTGCACGTAAAGCTTCCAATACCAGCACAACATCAGAGCCATCATCGTCCTCATCACCCTCGGCAACAGTATCGGCATCAGCTTCTGTTTTGGATGGCGTTGAACATGCAAATACCCCAGCAGCAACAACAACACAAACAACGGAAACATAGAAAATGTGTAAAGATTCGTCCTGTTGCTGCTGAAACTTACTCTAAAGGATGCCGTTGCGAGAAAACTGAAACGGAAATATGGTTTTACGTTTACGTCTATTCAGTTTCTGTTTTTGTTGTTACCTGCTAATGTAGCTGCTCCTAACTAAAGGTAATTTGTTTTAATACAACTTCAAACAGGAAAACTAAAGAATGAGACAAAGTTTTTTTGTTGTTTTCGGTTTGCCAAGAGAAAAGTAGAGAATAGTTGGCAATATTCATAGACTTAAAGACTTGCACGTTGCTGCAATAAATTTAAAATACTGTGGAGCACCAAATTTTCTTTAGGGGCTAGGAGGACGAGGAAGGCCTTCATGTACTCTATGAACAGTAGAAACCCTATAGACAATAAAAGAAAGGGACCATTTAATTTTGAATTTTTTAAAGAATAAATTTTCGTATAACTGGTGTTTTTTTAAAGAATATGTTTTTAAGAGCCATACAAGGCGTGATTTTTTAACGAATATTTTTTCACGAACTATGTGAAGGGTGGATTTTTAAAAGATTTTTTTTTTCAAGGGCCTTCATGGAGATTTTAATTAATTTTTTTAAAGAATATATTTTTCAGAATATTTTTTTCAGGAACCATATGAGGCGTGTATTTTTAAGAATAGTTTTTGAAGGACCACATAAGGCATAGATTTTTAAAGATTTTTTTTTTCAGGGACCACATAAGGCGTGGATTTTTTAATGGATACTTTTTCAGGGACCACATAAGACGTGGATTTTTTAACGAATATTTTTTCAAGGACCAACGCTAGGCGTAGATTTTTTAATGAATATTTTTGTAGGCACCACATAAGGCTTGGGTTTTTTAATGAATATTTTTTCAGGGACAACATAAGGCGTGGATTTTATTAAACAATATTTTTTCAAAGGCGTGGATTTTATTAAACAATATTTTTTCAAAGGCGTGGATTTTATTAAACAATATTTTTTCAAAGGCGTGGATTTTATTAAACAATATTTTTTCAAAGGCGTGGATTTTATTAAACAATATTTTTTCAAAGGCGTGGATTTTATTAAACAATATTTTTTCAAAGGCGTGGATTTTATTAAACAATATTTTTTCAAAGGCGTGGATTTTATTAAACAATATTTTTTCAAAGGCGTGGATTTTATTAAACAATATTTTTTCAAAGGCGTGGATTTTATTAAACAATATTTTTTCAAAGGCGTGGATTTTATTAAACAATATTTTTTCAAAGGCGTGGATTTTATTAAACAATATTTTTTCAAACCTGCAAGGCGTGGATTTTATTAAACAATATTTTTTCAAAGGCGTGGATTTTATTAAACAATATTTTTTCAAAGGCGTGGATTTTATTAAACAATATTTTTTCAAAGGCGTGGATTTTATTAAACAATATTTTTTCAAAGGCGTGGATTTTATTAAACAATATTTTTTCAAAGGCGTGGATTTTATTAAACAATATTTTTTCAAAGGCGTGGATTTTATTAAACAATATTTTTTCAAAGGCGTGGATTTTATTAAACAATATTTTTTCAAAGGCGTGGATTTTATTAAACAATATTTTTTCAAAGGCGTGGATTTTATTAAACAATATTTTTTCAAGGCGTGGACTTATTAAACAATATTTTTTCAAAGGCGTGGATTTTATTAAACAATATTTTTTCAAAGGCGTGGATTTTATTAAACAATATTTTTTCAAAGGCGTGGATTTTATTAAACAATATTTTTTCAAAGGCGTGGATTTTATTAAACAATATTTTTTCAAAGGCGTGGATTTTATTAAACAATATTTTTTCAAAGGCGTGGATTTTATTAAACAATATTTTTTCAAAGGCGTGGATTTTATTAAACAATATTTTTTCAAAGGCGTGGATTTTATTAAACAATATTTTTTCAAAGGCGTGGATTTTATTAAACAATATTTTTTCAAAGGCGTGGATTTTATTAAACAATATTTTTTCAAAGGCGTGGATTTTATTAAACAATATTTTTTCAAAGGCGTGGATTTTATTAAACAATATTTTTTCAAAGGCGTGGATTTTATTAAACAATATTTTTTCAAAGGCGTGGATTTTATTAAACAATATTTTTTCAAAGGCGTGGATTTTATTAAACAATATTTTTTCAAAGGCGTGGATTTTATTAAACAATATTTTTTCAAATGGATTTTATTAAACAAGGCGTGGATTTTTCAAAGGCGTGGATTTTGGATTTTATTAAACAATATTTTTTCAAAGGCGTGGATTTTATTAAACAATATTTTTTCAAAGGCGTGGCATTATTTAAGAATATTTTTTTGGATTCAGTGTGGCATTTGTTTATAGGGATGTGTGTGTTTACTTTTTTAGGTAAGCCAGCTTGATCCCTTTCTTATTGTTTAAAAAAAAATTAAAACCACACGATTTTTATTTTTAAAATAGGTTATGGTCACATTGATTAATTTCGGGATAATCAGAGAAGACCATAGTTTCGGCCACAAATCCTCATCAGTTCTCTTAGTTTTTTGCTTGGGATATTGCCCCAGGGAGTCATGTATCACTCCACTAAACAAAAAAACCCTTCTTCCCCAATTTTGTAACATCCACAACGTCAAGCCTATGTACTTTTAGAGAACGCTCTGTTTGAGAATCCTCATTCTCATTTTTTCAAAGACTATCTTAAGCGTGGAATTATTTTAGAATATTTTGTCAAGGGTCATACAAGGTGTCCTTCCGAAGCGTGAATTTTTTAAGTTCCTGCCTAAGCGTTAATTTTATAAGTATTATTTTATTAAAGTCCTCCCTAGGCATGGGTTTTCTAAATAATATTTTTTCATGGTCCTTCCATTTTATCTATGTCCTTCCATCATACACAATGATATATCCCCACTGTCTATTGCCCACTTAGCCTTCATCATATCCTCAACTTTATCTGACTGCATAAAACCCCAACACATTTGTATGGATTTCCTTTTCGGTTGCCTTCATGCAAATTCCATTTCATGTTGCATGTCAAAGCGAAGAGTCAACTCTTCTATGTCATGCACGACCGGAATAAATATGCAAATAGACTACCGCATATCCTTCTTCTCTATTGTCTGATAATAATAATGTAAAGTATTCATAGAAAGATCCGAGAGATGAGGTCTAAAAGCAGCTTATATGTTGATCTAATAACTAACACGTCTCTATGGGTGATTTACACTGACAGAGGGATAAACAGAGTGTGTGAAAGAGAAAAGACGACAGAGGGCAGAATTAAGGATATTTATAATGGATGCCATAGATGATACTGCAGTTAGTTGTCAGCATATTACGAATGCATGTCATTTGTAAGATTTTCTGCATCTTGAGATGGCTAATGGCAGTGTGTGTGGGCAATTTAGAAAATGGTTCAAGTGCACTATGACAGCTTCATGGTATGAAGTTTATCTGCATATATAAAATTGATTACAGTTTTAAACATTTAATTCTATGGAAAATTTGACTTAAACAATGACATCCATAAATGTAAAGGAAGCACAATTTCCATACATTCATTACACTCTTTATCATTCATATGCATTTTTGCCGTATTCTTTGACTACCTTTTCGTTTGGCAACAACCGACACATGAAACGAGTTACTTAAAATTAATGTTTTCTTTGTGAGCACAACATATGACCGGCAACAGCCAACAGACCCGCATTGAATCGAATTGAAATGCAAAAAAAAGAAGACCAAAAACGCGGCAACCAGCAGTCAACCCAATTACGAACGAACCATCAAAGAGATGGAACCACCAGCGAATGGGAGGAATGCCACATAAAAAATTGCAAAGAAGAATTTTTTATATATTAATGTTTAAATTTGTGGAATAAATTGATAATGTGGGGGCTCTTTTCATAAAGGATTAAATAAAATAAAAAATGTATATTTTGAACTCAAAGTAGGATATAATAAACCAGTGAGCGGAGCAGTATAGTCGGACGGGGCCGACCATACGATACCCTACACAACTACCACGGAACTCAAATTTTTTGCGGATGTTTATTCCGAGCCTGGGCAATATTTCGTGATATTTTCCCCTTCTTGTCCGATTAGAGGTAAACAGCACCTCACACTGACATATTTTCCAAATATTTCGAGTATTCAGTACAGCTATTGTCCAGATTCCTTCGGCTTTTATTTTGTGGTCTATAAATCGACACGAAAATAACACAAAAAATTAAGTTTTCGGTCCACTTCATTCCAAAATTATTATCTGATCATCACCGAAAATTATAGGCGTTGTCCTTGACCATAACTGGAACCTCATGGAGCATTTCGAAGCTATCAGCGCTATATTTCCGCCCTCCAGTATGGTAATGGGTTACTAAATAATATACGTATACGGAGATACATGTAAATATTTGGGTGTAACTCCCACATCCGAGCACATACAAAAATATAATTGGTAGTAATTTAAAGGTCAACCACTCCTCGTGGATATACTATCAACTTCTCGGGTCTATGTCCATCAGGGACAAATATATACGCTATAGAATACAAATTTTGTCAAAAGTCAGGGTCCATTTGACCCGCTAAATATTGACCGATCTTTATCAAAACATGCATGCTTATTCTTTGGCCCGATCCCCTTCTCCATGTAAAATTTCAAGATGTTCGAGCCATTATTGCGGCCTCTGGAGCGACCAGAAAAACCGACAAAAATTTAGTATTTGGTCCATTTCATCCCCTAAATATTAACCGATCTTTCCCAAAAACAATAGGGGACTTCATTGGCCAGAACCCATCCTACATGCAAAATTTCGTGAAGATTGGTCCATAACTGTGGCCTGTATCGTGTTTACAAATTATAATGTACAGACGGACGGACACACATGTCTAGATCGACTCATCTAGTCGAGATATGACGATCGGTATACTTAAAGGTGGGTCTAGGACCAATATTTCGCGGCGTTACAAACTTTTGGGGCTGCACAAAGCTATAATACCCTGACAACATAGTTGTGTAGGGTATAAAAATT